GCACGGGGGGGGCTGGCGTGGGTTCCGTCGGCTCTGGGGAAGTGCTCCACTCCCCATCCCTGATGCAGGGGAGCAGAGCACTTCCCCCCTGGAGCCAGCAGAGCCCGCACCAGGCTCCCGCCCAAGCCTCTCCTGGTGCACGGCTTTGAAAAGGCTGTGCATGGCCACACTTTTAGTTGTGTGCGACTGTGCGCTTTAGAGGGAACCTTGCCCTCAAGCTGTTATCATTCTGGAATCTGTATTAGCAAATACTGTATAAGTGCAGTTCCACTCTTTTTCATGTTGTGATATGAGCCTGTTGGGTTTTTTTTTTTAGATTAGCAAGGCAGGGTTTGTGCAATGTTGAAGTCAGAGCTGCCTTTCACTGAATCAGAAACTTCACTGTTATGTTAATATTTGTTCTGAGCAATTGTAACAGTGAAGGATTTGCTCTCATGTACCTAATTTACATTAAAGTTTTGCTTCTCTTTGTTTGCTCTGTCTGTGCTAGGTTTGAAATTCCAGAGCCTGAGCCAACGGAAGCTGATCGTATGGCTATGGAGAATGGAGACCAGCCTCTCAGTGCAGAGTTAAAGCGGTTTAGAAAAGAATACATACAACCAGTACAGCTGCGGTAAGTATTGCAGAAAAGCTGTAAATTCCAGAGGTAGGAATGACATGAGCCACTGATAAGGATAACAGTGGGGAGGGAGAACTTGTATCTAACTTGCATGCAAACCTCGAGCTGTTTCTTCATTCTGTACCCAAGAACTACCAGGTTTCTTTCTTTGTATTTGGTAGCTCATTAGATAATAGTTTTTTTTTAAAAGAGGAAAAATAAGTTCTTGTAAGCAGAGTCATTTGCAGGTACACTTTCCCTATGATCTAGAGTCATTCTGAAGATATCTAGTGCTATAGATACAGTAGTTTAGTGGTCAACTATTTTAACCTCATTTCCCAAGGCTCTTTGGTGACTTAACCTCAGGACCTCCAGAATGGGAAGTCAGAGGCAAACCCTCTGCCAGATTCTAGAATTCCTACATTACAGATTAGGCACTAGTGTTCTCTAAGGGCCTTCTGAAATCTATGCTTTTGACTTGAAGTAATATGTTTGGAAGAAACGCACTTCAGCTATATTTGATCCTCTAATCTACTCACTACAGCAGGGGTCGGCCATGCTAGGCACTGCCAGATGGTGGAGTTAAAATCTCTCCCAAAATATTTACAATTTCTCCTTTAATACCATAGAGTTTTAAATGTATGTCGGCATTGGGTGGAACACCACTTCTATGACTTTGAGAGAGATGTTGATCTTTTGCAACGATTGGAAGAATTCATTGGGACAGTAAGAGGTATTTATGATTGCAGTGAATATCAGTTTAAAACAAAAGTTGAGTCTTGAGCATCTTTATGTGGTGATACTTCCTTATTGTTGTGGGATAAAGAAAAGAGAAAAAATTACTACTCCTAATGACTTCCGTTCTGTAACATAGTGTAAATGTATCATTTAAACAAAAATGGATTCGTGTTCATAGTCAGAACAATGGATTATGCCTTCATTGAATCTGGTTGACACGGTTCTAGCTGTATTGTAAATAGATTAATATAAACGAAAATTGGCAATAACTGAGAGGCTAGTTTTAAGGACCGAATGGAATAGTCTTTTTGGTAATCACCTACTTAAATTATAGTTGGATGTAACTTGCATAGAACTTTAATTGCAAAACACCGTATTTGCTGGAGCCAGAGGTCAACTGATTTGCAGTTGGAACCATATCTGGAGAAGCTGTCATAGGCCAGCTTATCCCTCCAGTTCGTGGGAATGCAGCAAACCTTTCCTGTTCATTTGTAGTAGTGAGTATGGCAGTTGCATACAGGGAAAGGTAAAATGTGGAAAGTATTTAATGTATATTTAGTGCATATAGTTTATTATAGTATAATATATTTAGCAGCTGAAAATGGGAGAGTTAGCACCAGCTTTCAGTGGACCATCAGCAAATTATTTGTAGACTGGGCAATTTGGAAAACTAATCTGGTACATAGAACATAAGAATCGGAGGTTCAGGACTTCAGAGGCTCAATTAATTATCCCATCAACTTCATGCATGAAATGCCCTTGCATATGAAGCTAACAGGATAATTGGGCCCCTGGGTACTTTTTCCTGCCTTTTCAGGGAACCACTGTTCAGCTTTTGGCAAGTGATACCTCCATGTACCTCAGCTTGTCCACCTGCAACAAAATTAAACTCTGTTCAGTGCATACATAAGGGCCTTGAGATGTAACGATTTGGGAGTGCTTTCAGGACCACAAGAAAACCTGTTTTGTACTATTGAAGTACAAAGTGTTGCGTGTTATTTATTTTGTTGAGTAAATCTGGAGACTTAAAGTACATTGGCTGCTTTAGTCATTCATAGAATTAAGAGGTAAATAAGTGCTGATGTTGTTTCTCTATGCCAGGTAAAGCTATGAAGAAATGGGTTGAATCAATCACAAAGATAATCCACCGGAAAAAGCAGGCGCAAGCCATTGGGCCAAGTCACAATATTACTTTTGAAAGCTCACCTCCTGCAATTGAGTGGCATATTAGCAAACCAGGACATGTAGAGACTTTTGATTTGCTCACTTTGCACCCAATAGAAATTGCTCGACAGCTCACTTTACTCGAGTCAGATCTTTACAGGTAATTGTTAGAAAACTAAATGTACCATGAGATACTATGGCACAAAGCAACAAATATTTCCTAATTTGAAATGTCATTTGTAGGCCTTTATGGAGCAGGTCTAGTGGTACAGCCCCTCGATCTATATGGTGTTTTAGTTGTTGGCTATGCAGCAAAAGATTCTAAAGATGAATCACAAAGCAAAAGTATCTGTGGATATCATGGTTCCCAATATATCCAAGCACTGATAACCAGTGTCTACTATCAGTTGAACTGTACAGCAGAAGAACACCTCCTGGTACCTTCTGTTACTTCCAGAATTGGCAGGCCTTTGAGAAACGTGAAAACCACTTCAGCCATTTTTCTTCATTCCCTGGGGCACCTATATATGTGCTGGATGTGTGCTCTGATGCACGCTAATTAGCACACATTGGAGCAGGCTCGAGTAGCTGAGCATACTAATTAACACGCTCCAGCAGCCTCCATATTGCATGTATTCAGCATCCCTGCGCTTCAAAATGGTGGCAGAAAAAATGCTCCTCAAACAAGCTCTACTTAAAGTGCTCCCACTGCCATTTTGAAGCGCAGAACACTGAATACACATGACACTGCAGGGACTTTTAATTAGAGTGGTTCCCAAGAGCTGCTCTAATTAAAGCACCCCTCCCCCATCCCAGAGGACATGTAAAGATACTTCCGGTTTTATGTGAAGTGTTGTGGCTACAGGAATCCATGGACATTAGGAGGTCACATCTCATTAGGGTGAATAAGATTTAAATTTCATTCTTCATTTTGATGAATGGAAATAATTATTAATATGTTCAGTGGTATATTTTGTTGATCTATAGTATGATGTAAACAGGAATACTAGTTTTATTTATGCAGTTAGCATTTTGATGCAGTTGATAGTTTTCAAGTAGTCATCCTGTAATAATTTAAATCCATCAACTAAGATGTTTTTAGAGTAATAGCTTTTGTTAAAAAGCTGGATATTACTGTATTTTTTTAATTTGGTTTTGGTTTTTATAGAGCTGTA